TATATCCAGAATAGGCAAGTCTATAGAGACAGAAAGCAGATTAATGGTTGCCAGAGGCTGTTGGGGAGAGGGGAGTGGGAAGTGATTACTGATGTATATGGGTTTCCTTTGGGGTGATGAAAATATTCTGCAACTAGATAGTGTGAATCTACTAAATGCTACCGAATTGTACACTTTAAAATGGTTAAAGTGGTAATTTTATGTTAAGTGTATTTTACCACAGTTACTTTTAAAGCCCGACAGGATAAGGTCCACTCATCCCAGCATGTCACTTGGGGCATCACATGGTCCCACTAGTGTCTGCCTGTTCATCTGTCTCTTCTGTTTCCCTCTATTCCCACACGAATGGGACGACACACAGACTGCTGCACGTGCCCGCAGCTTCACGGCCCCTGCATTTCCATGCAGTTTCCTCTGTCTGCGGTGATCCCTCTGCTGCACGTGCCCACAGTTTCACACCCCACCGCATTTCCACGCCCCGCTGCATTTCCACGCAGTTTCCTCTGTCTGCAGTGATCCCTGTGCTGCACATGCCCGTAGCTTCACAGCCCCAGCATTTTCACGCAGTTTCCTCTCTCTGCGGTGATCCCTCCACCCCCACCCCACCCAGCACTCTCCGTCCAGTGATCTCCTTCAAGACCCCCAAGAAGCTTCCCCTGACACATCTACATCAACAAGCCTACTGTGAACTTCCCTCTCTTTTCTGTCATCTAAACAGGCATAACTGGGAAACTTTTACTGGCGGGTCTGTGTTTCTAGTTCCAGGGAGAATTATATCGTTTTCTAAAAAATAAAGTGGAATGAAGCTTTAAAGTGTTTGTATAACCCTGTTGAAATTCATGACACACTTGTGACCCCCTGGAACATCTGGAACACATGAGGTTAGAGGCTGCATCTATAGTGTGGAGGCACCCAAAATAGACAGTTCTATTCAGGGAGCCCTGAGATTAATCTTGTCACATTTAAATATGTAATTACAGCCCCGCCACATTTTGTTACTCACCTCTAAAAGCTGCTGAGTGATCTGTATCTTTGATTTGTGAATGCTGAGTGGCTTGACTATAAACGACAAAGTGGTTTATTTTTTCACACTCAAAAATATATTTATTTTTGAAGTTAGTATCAGTAAAATGCTGTATGTGAATCTGCTTGAGAGAATATGTTTTGTTTGGGAATTTTGTGGCATGTGAAACAAGCTTTGTTCCTTAACGAGCTTTCTTTTCCCCCAATCTTAATGACACAATTTACAGTGTCATTGGGTCATTACACATGGCAGCTCAGAAATTGGACCAGGGTCAGGTAGGTCACTGAGAGGAAGAGTAAGAACACCTGACCCCTTCAGCTCTCCTTCACCACTTGATAATTATGGACAGGGAAGGTGTGTGTGAGTGTGCTTGTGTGTGAATAAATACCAGGAGACTGGATGCCCAGGAAGTGAGGTCATGAGTAGGTATTAAACAGATTTCTACTTGTATTCATGAGTAGGTGTTAATGAAATTACCTTGATGTAAACAGAGAATTCCCTGGTTTGCCACAGAATAGAAAAAATTATCAACAGTAGTTCTATCAACAGCATCAGCATTGCTTTGGAATTGTTAGATATGCAAATTCTTAGGCCCTGTCCTGGACCTTAAGAACTGGAAAGTCTGGAGGTGACGCCTCACGATCTCTTTTAATGAGCTCAGGTATTTTTATGCACGTTCAAGTCTGAGAGCCATTGTTTTGTTTTTTGTTTGTTTGTTTTTGAGGTGGAGTCTCGCTCTGTCGCACAGGCTGGAGTGCAGTGGTGCTATCTTGGCTCACTGTAACCTCTGACTCCTGGGTTCAAGTGATTCTCCTGCCTCAGCCTCCCCAGTAGTTGGGATTACAGGCATGCATCACCACACCTGGCTAAATTTTTTTTTTTTTTTAATTTTTAGTAGAGACGGGGTTTCGCTATCTTGGCCAGGCTGGTTTCAAACTCCTGACTTCAAATGATCCACCCACCTCAGCCTCCCAAAGTGTTGTGATTACAGGCGTGAGCCACTGCACCCAGCCAAGAACCATTGTTTTAAACAACCTTTTTAAACCAAGGTTTTTTATGAAAATGTAGGAACACCATGTTCTAAGGTAGTTAGGTTCACATAGGCATATATACATATATATTTATTGATTTATACTTAGAGATGGGATCTCCTTTTGTTGCCCAGGCTGGAGTGCAATGGCTCAAGCAGCTCACTGCAGCCTCAAACTCCTGCACTCAAGCGATCCTCCTGATATAGGCATTTTGATTTTGGATTTTGAATATAGGTAAGTGTTGAAAGAATAATGAAAATGACCAATATTTACTGAAGACCACCCCAGGTCAGGCACTGTACTAAAGATTCCAGGGACGTTATTCCACTGACTCCTCACACAACTCACAACTACCCCACGAGGTAATACTTGTTTCCCAATTGTAAAGTAAAGGAACCTGAGGCTCAGTGAGGTTAAGTTCCTTGCCCAAGGTCACACAACGTGCAGTGCCTCTCGCTATGCTCCTGCACTTTGACTTCTGAGCCCAGGCTGTGAAGCACTCTGCTATTCTTTGTTTATCCTTTGTCAGCTGCAGCACTGGTTCTGGGGGCAGGATGACCTTTAGCTCTCGGATATTCAATTTATTGCTGTTCCGGACCATTGCTGCCAAACTCATTTCCAGTTGAAGCAGCTGGGTTTTGTCACACATAGGACTTTGTTAAGTGTCCTCAGCTGAGCTGAAGCTGCACAGAAATCACTCATCATATTCCTGCCAGGGCCAGAGATACGGATGAAAATCTACAGGAAGAAATGTCTAGCCTGGGATTGCGGGGCGGCAAAAGTTTCCCTCTAGAGTCCTATGAAGGGGTTCTTGTCACACATGTATACTTTTAGTTTGTGATAAAAAGTGGGCATGTTGGGTTTCCAGTTGCAAGCTTGTACACAAATAGTCGATGGGTTTCGCTGTCACTGCAGTGAGGCACACATGACCTTTGATCAACTGCAGCAAAACACAAAAGTTTCACATTTGCATGTGAAAGAGTTAAGTCTGGTCCCACATCTGCAAATGAGATCTGCCTCCCTCACTGTAATATGTGAAATACAAAAATATAGAAAATTATCTGTTTATATCTGCAAGATTTTTTTGTTTCATCAGTAAACCTCAGAGGGCTATTGAGAGGTGAAGAAAAATGTTCCATGACTAAGCTGTGAAGTCCAGCTCAAAGATAAGGAATGATTGTGTGAGTACTAGGATTTGATTAAAAACACCACACCGGTGTTTGCATCAGAAGTCAGGGTTCTAGCTAGTTATCTCACTTACAGTTGTGTGACTTGGACAAGCTACTAAATAATTCCAAATAGCTCAGTCATCTCAATGCTCATGTGAATGGTGCTCCCTGCAGTTGTGCAGTGCACAGTTTGTATAACTGCGAGCTGCAAGGTAAGTATCATCTAATAGTGTTAATCCTACTTACCGCACATCAAGGTTGTAAGATGGAATGTGTTGGGAGGTAGGGGCAGATTTTCAATATAATAAATGCACTATCCAAATATACTTTTTCTGCCTCAGTTTCCTTCAGATTGAGACAAGTAAAAGAACCCAACCTCTTAGGAAGGGCCTTGTGAAAGTGACGTTTAATTGCTGATTGTGATTCAGCAGCTAGAAGTTACTGAAAGTGATGCCCTTTTTGCATATGTTTATTCACTTCGTTCTCTGGTACCTCCTGTGCATTCTCCACATATGGAACAAGATATCTCAGGCCAGGCTGACCTCTCCTGCATGTAACTTCCCAACCCTCAGTGTCAGTCCTTGCCCTTCTGGCATTGAATCATGACAGCTTCCCGTTTCCCTCTACTTGGAATATTAGCTGATGCTAGAGGCTTAATGAGTACAGAGACCAGTCCCCTGTTGTTGATTTGAACTCGTCATTAGAGATGTTTTAGGAATGCTTTATATCACCCAACAAGGGCTTGAGTTACATAGGTGTATGCATTTGTCAGAAGTGGTGAGTCTACACTTAAGACTAGTGCATTTCATTGTGTCTTCACTCAAAAGAAAATCTGTAAACCCATATTGAACTCTGACGAATAATGTGATGCTGAAGTGTTTGGGGGAAGTGCGCTATGTGCCCACTTTGAGACGTGTCAGAAAGATAAGATGGATTAATGGATGGGTGTGGGATGGAGAGAGGCACCCTTATGTGAGAAAGCAAGTAAAGTGAATGTTCAGGAGAGACTCAAAATCATCACTATATGAATTGTTTTCAAATTTGCTATGTTTTAAAATATTTTATAATCTAATATTAGAAAAAAAAAAAATGTTCGAACTCTATGCTGCTCAAAACATGACTTTCTTTTATTTCAAGTGTCAAGGTTTTTTTTTTTTTAGAGATGGGGTCTCATTCTGTCACCCAGGCTGCAGTGCAGTGCATGTGGTATGATCCTAGCTCGCTGCAGCCTCCAACTTCTGGGCTCAGGTCATCCTCCTGCCTCCATCAAGGATGTTTTGGTTTCTTTATTTTTTTTGAGAACCAAAATTTCCCCTTTATTACTGATAAAGGCTAAGATGGAAGGTATGGCTCAGTGTGAGGGACAATTGGGCTGGCTAATTGAAGGGTGGAATTAAGTAGACAGTCCACCCCATTGCAGGCAGACCTGACATACCCCAGAAGTAGTGGGCTGGAGGTGGGCCTCACCAGGTAACACCTGCAGTCCAGCACTTCCAACTGTGGGGAGCAGGCAGATCACTCTCAAGAGGAAAAAGACAAGGAATAATTTTCAATTTTTACACTCATGAGAAATGAACACAACTTTGCGTAAAATTAACTAAGTTTTAAAACTTTTCTACCTTAACATGCCTATTATTAAAGCCTATCCAAAGGCATGCATTGGGAGAGTATGTTCTGTATTTCATGTGAGTTTTAAATAGAGTTTAATCTGAATGAAAACTTTTCATGTATTTAGAATATCCATTTCTCTAAATTTCCGTTCTTTTTCTTTTTAAGGTAATTATTCGAGGTGGAGGACATATTTTACCCTATGACCAGCCTCTGAGAGCTTTTGACATGATTAATCGATTCATTTATGGAAGAGGATGGGATCCTTATGCTGGCTAAACTACCTTCCCAAAAGAGAACATCAGAGGTTTTCACTGCTGAAAAGAAAATTGTAAAAACAGAAAATGTCATAGGAATAAGAAAATTATCTTTTCATATCTGCAAGATTTTTTTCATCAATAAAAAGTATCCTTGAAACAAGTGAGCTTTTGTTTTTGGGGGGAGATGGTTTATTATAAAATTAACATGAGTACATGAGTAAGATTTACAGGATTTAACTTAAAGGATGAAAGGAATGGATGATGTGACACTGAGACAAGAGGTATAAATGAAAATTTAGGGTCTTGAATAGGAATTTTTAGTTTCTTCTAAGAGTAAGTGAAAAGTGCAGTTGTAACAAACAAAGCTGTAACAGCATCTTTTTCTGCCAATAACGGAAGTTTGGCATGTCATGCATATGAAGGTGTTTGGAAATATTATTGGATAAGAATCGCTCAATTATCATCCCAGATAAATGGATGAAGCTATAACCGTTTTGGGGAAAAGATTCTCAAATGTATAAAGTCTTAGAACAAAAGAATTCTTTGAAATAAAAATCTTATATATAAAAGTAATGATGAACCAATTCTTGATAAGCAGAGGCTCTTATGCAGAGAACCAACTTAATCTTTGCCTTTTCATTTTCTTTTTCCTTCTTTGAGTTTGAGGTGTACACACTTCTCAAAGAGCCTGCAGGCTACAACATTAGTTATAAGAGCCATTTTAATTTGGGCTTCAAATTCTCTTCTTCTTTTCCCCAAATAAAGAACAACCTAATTTTGTATCATTGTTAGAATATCAAAAAAATTAAGATAAGCTGGCATCAATATATACCTTTATAAATATACATTCATTAGCAGTTTTCTAACTAAAATATCACATCCTGGCACATCTTTTCGATTTATGCATCATGTGCTCTCATCTCTTTGAAATTCTACAAGATGTGTGGATTTTTCCACATCACTTCCTTCTCATATTAGCCATCTATGAATTGGCTCAGTGGAGAATAAAATTTAAAAAGTCAAAGCCTGTTCTTGCGGCAAATATTTTATGGAGTTTATTCTTTTAATTTCTCATTTTGTGCCTGATTTCATTCAGGTTTGTGATCTTCCTTTTTAAAGTGTTCATTGTACCCATGTCCTAGAAGTCATTAAATCAAATATTCTGATCAAAAGCAGATTTTAATTATTGCAGAGAATAAACTGGGGCAGGGTAGGATGCAAGAAGTTTTCCATGTAGTCCCATCTGCAAGTTAAATTAGCTGTATTTGGTCCATGTCTCATAACTATGTACTGGAAAGGGCACTGACTGGCTGGGAGACCTAGGTTTAGTTTCATATGGATCACACATGCGCTGGACATTTTAGGAGAAGTCACTTCACCATACCAGCCTCCCAAACCCAAGGAAGGTAGCCAGAAGAAGAGACTTCTGAGGTTCTTTTGGGTTCACATGTCACTAGGGTAGTACCTATTTACAAGGGTACTATGAGATGACCCAGTCGATCCTCGTTATTCAAGAATTCTATGTTTGCAAATGAAGTCTACTTGCTAAAAAAATGTATTTCTAACCCCAATATCAATACACTTGCTCTTTTGAGGTCATGTACAGAGTGGCAAAAAATTTCAGTTGCCCAGCATACACATTCCCAGCTGGGGCCAAAGAAGGAGACACTCTGCTTTCTTGTTTCAGTCGCTTTCACACATAAACAATCGCCTTTTCTTTGTTTGTTTGTTTGCTTTTTCTCTTATTAAGGCGGAGTCTCGCTCCGTTCCCAGCTGGAGCAAAGAAGGAGACACTCTTCCCAGCTGGGGCCAAAGAAGGAGACACTCTGCTTTCTTGTTTCAGCTTTCATACTGTAAACAATCGCCTTTTTCTTTGTTTGTTTGTTTGCTTTTTTCTTATTAAGACGGAGTCTCGCTCCGTTGCCCAGGCTGGAGTGCAGTAGTGTGCTCTCGGCTCACTGCAACCTCTGCCTCCTGGATTAAAGCAATTCTCCTGCCTCAGCCTCCCAAGTAGTTGGGATTACAGGTGCACGCCACCAAGCCCAGCTAATTTTTGTATTTTTAGTAGAGATGGGGTTTTGCCATGTTGGTCAGGCTGGTCTTGAACTCCTAATCTCAGGTGATCCTCCCACCTTGGCCTCCCAAAGTGCTGGGATTACAGGCGTGAACCACCACACCCAGCCCAATTGTCCTTTTCTAAGTCTGTTTAGTGCTACATTTTTGGGGTCATTTTTGTGCTTTTTTTGTGGCTGATTTTGCTGTTTAAAATGGCCTCAAGCACAGTGCTGAAGTTCTGACCAGTGTGCGAGAAGACTGTGAAGCGACTTACAGAGAAAATACAAGCAGGTATTTTGTTTTTTTCAGGCATGAGTTAAAGTGCTGTTGGCCCTGAGTTCCACATTAATGAATCAACATTTTAAAGGTGACTAAGAAACACACTTAAGGTTATGTATTGATCAGTTGACAAGAATGTTGTGACCCACAAGCTTGAAGGAACCTAAACGTATATTTGCCTTAGAAGCAATGGTTCAGAATTTGCTAATTCTGTCTGCATAGACATTATAGAACATAGCTACAGTGGGTAAAGAGAATTGACTATCTTTCTAGAGCGTTTAGCGTAGGGAGTAGCACAGGATAATAGCTCAATACGTGGACATTGTAGATGTTTTCATTTTTATCATCACCCTGCCAGGTACAAGGCCAGTGGGGAGCGCTGAGGTGGTGGTGGGGGCACGAGTTGCCAGATCTTCCAGGAGCAACCCTAGCCAACTCATTTGAGGATACAGTTCTATGAAGATTGAATCTGGCAAGTATTTTACTCTAGAAGAAGAAAGGAAAAGATTGAATCTGGCAAGTATTTTACTTTAGAAGAAAGGGAAGCTAAAGAAAAACTAGTTTTTGGATTTAATTGTAGAGAGTCCTTTGTGTAGAGACTCTCCAAGTACAGTGCAAGCCCTCCATAGATGTTCAAGACAATCTGTTATAGTCCAAGGAGAAAATACTTCATTTCAAAATGAGAACACAATTAAGCTTTCATAGTATGTAATGCTGGATTCTCATGATGCCCTCCCTCAGTACAGACATGACACAGTCAGATGTCTTATGTGACTGCAGTTGCTGTAGGCAGACAACATCTGCAAAGAGGGAGAGGCACATGGAGGAGGTCCACCGAAGCATCTTCTCACGGTCCTGCATCTAGCGTATTGTCAATAATTGCAATTGACATTCATATAGGATGTTATCAATGTGATTAGTTTCATAAAAGCAAAGCCTTTCAAAGAGTAGGATGATTATAACACTGCAATTTGATGGCCAGTGGTCAAGGGGGACTCCTGTACTACACTGCTTATCTCATGGTAGTGCATTTAAAGGAGTTGTGGAACCTGAGGTTGAGTCCTGGATCCTTTCTTTGACAAAAAGACAAGCATTACAGACGTGCTGTCATGGCAAGTGGCGATTGTTAGTATGTTGCCTAGCAGATATATTTTTTAAAGTAAACACACAATCCATCTTTTCAAGGTAGAAGTGATATTTTCACTTAGTGAAATTAATTAGTGAGGAAGTTAACTTCTTTTCAAAAGAAATTGAATCTATGGCAAGAGCCTTTTGAAAACAGATGTTTGGAAATGTTCCCATGTTACTATATGCACATTACAAAAACAAAACTAAAAAACCCTTAAAAGCAAAGAAAATTTCAACAATTGTCTCTGTGTAATAGATGAGACTGAAAAATAAGTTTTGGGAATTACTAAAGCTCATCTGGTGAGGCATTTCTTCTATTGAATCTACATATCTCTGTTAAGTGTCTTTTTCAGCTCTGATGGACTTTGAAACCAAACATTAAAATAAATATATGTATGTATAGCCAGACGTTTGAATGGCTATATGACAAAAGGGTAACCCAGGACTTTTTGAAAATGACAAGGCATATTCAACACATTAGTCCTATCGAAGATATTAACAGTAATATTTTAGAAAGCATTTTTTTACCATTAAAAATCAAATTCAATTTTTAAAAATTAAGTATTTAAAATTTATCCTTTTGCAGTTTCCACTTCGATTAAAATTTCTTTTTTTTTTCTGATTTATTTTATTCTTTTTGTGTGTGTGTCTTTTTTATTATTATTATTATTATACTTTAAGTTCTAGGTAAAATTTCATAATGTAAATATTGTTAGTACAGTAGTGGCATGATTATACTTTATAAATGAAATAATTTTATATATGATATATTTATAACATTTATAATATATCACATAAATATAATTCTTATAATTAATTGTTATATAATTATATATAATAAATATATAACATAATGTATAAATATATATAAAAATATTATAAAAATATATTTATAATATATACTTATATATAATTATTTCTTTATAGAGTATAATCATGCCACTGCTGTATTAAAAATATTAACCTTATGAAATTTTAATCAAAGTGGAATATATTATATATTAAATATATATTATATATGTATCTTCAGTAATTTTTTAATGATAAAGTTGACAGCAAAAGATTTGGAGACCACTGTTTGAGATGACAGAAAGTCTAAAAGCAGCCTTAAACTTTGTTCCAATTTCGTTATGTTATTAAAAAAAAAAGCAAGGCATCTAACAATATATGATGCTTTCTTTTCTATGAAAGAAAGGAATGGAAGACACCCACACGCACATGCACACACACCCCTGAGTTTCCACAGCAGATGGGCAGAGCCCATCAGGAATCAAAGTGGGTCTCTGTTCAACCCCATTCTCTTCCCATCAGGCACCCTGCTCCCGATCCCTCAGCTCTTCCTCGCCTATCAGTGGGTAGGCGTTAGGGTCTGTACTGTCATTAATAATGGGCTTTACTTTGAAAGTGGTGTAAACCAGATCCTTGGTAACTTTTTGATGCAGTATCTGCTCTGGAGACCCAAGAGGGGCTAATGTAAATTTGAATTGCGATTCTCTGGAAAGTACTAAGAGCGTTGATTTAATTATTGATTGATGTGAAGTTCCCAAGTTATCTTTTCTAATGCCACCAAAAATATGACAGGTAAGACCAGAAACCAAGGGCTAAGATCTTGTGATGAGCTGCTTGACTTAAACCCTGATTTTCTGAGGAAAGTCTGGTGTTCCCTTTGTTTCTTCTTGTGAATAACAGCCCCCCCCC